AGAAAATTAACTCTATCCCAGCCGAAACCAGGACATTTACTTATGAAAGTTTGTATCTTGGTCAGTGAATTTACTCAATTGCTCCAGGATGGGCTTCCTCCCACCCCTTAAGTTCATATCTCCTCTTAATTAAAATTTGTCTTTTTTTTCTTTCTTTGTTTCAGCTTCATGCTGCCATTAGTCATCAGGTGGATCCAGAATGCCTTGGCTTAGGTTTGGGCAGTATACTGCTCAATAGCCTGAAGCAGGCAGTGGTAACATTAGCAAGCAATGCTGGTGTTCTTAATACTGTGCAATCAGCTGCTCAAGCAGTGCTGCAGAGTGGATGGTCTGTGTTACTACCAACAGCAGAAGAGCGGGCTCGGGCTCTCTCGGCGCTCTTACCCAGTGCAGGTTGGTCCTAGGATTTAAACCTATTTGTTTTGTGCTTGCATTTCTAGTTTATTAATGGCTTCTTCCATTCTTAGTTTCAGGAAATGAAATGAATGTAAGTCCAGGCCGTAGATTTATGATTGACCTCTTGGTAGGCAGCTTGATGGCTGATGGAGGCTTAGAGTCTGCACTAAATGCTGCTATTACTGCAGAAATTCAGGTATGTTTCAGCAGCTTTGCAGTTCTGTATAAACAGAATAAGATGATGTATCAAGTATTTTCTGAAGTTTGTGGATTGATATTATCCTCTTTAGACCTGAAACTTGAGCCAGTGTTTGTATGGAAGCATGAATCACATTCACCTTTTTAGTGGAGTGTTTCTTTTTGTTGCGTAGCGTGATGACTTTAACAATGGTAACAAACTTTTTCATAAAGCTCTGTAAGAGGAGCATAAATTTACAAAGCGCTTTGTACCTTTCTGTGGGATTCTTGAGTTCTTCAGTTCCTCGATGTCACCCATATCTCTCCAGAAGAAATTTCAGCCTTATTACTTACGAATTCAGGATGAATGAAATCTTTGCAGCATCCCAAATTTCCATAGGTTTCATTTCAGACTGTTTCGAATGTTTAACAGATGCTGACTAGTTATACAAAGGATGAAAGAAACATTTTGTATGTACCGTTTTCTCCATGAGCCTCTCGGAGATGGGATATCCTCTGCACAGACTGCTTTAAATTGCCATATTTGTGTTTTGAAAACAAAAATGTGCTTTTTCCTTGCCTATTCATTTGTTTAATTCTTCCTAGTATGTTTTCTTCTTGGTTTCTCTCCACTGTTGGTAAATGGGGAGGTTTATGATGCAGAGGAAATGCATGTATTAAGTTTTGCTTTAATGTGTAGGCTAGCATTAACGTTTTCTGTTGTACTGAAAGACATGCAGGACCTCTTGTTTCTTAACCAAGTCTCCTAGGGCACATTTACATTATAGCATAAGTCAGAGATGCCTGAGCCAACTTCAGATATATGCTGAAGGTTATCTAGGTAGCAGCATACAGCACTGCACAGGTTAATTTACGTTGTCTAAAACCTGGGTGAATTCATTTCCATAGAGTTCTGTATGACTATAGCTCAGCAGCAAATCTAACCCAGGTTCTTCTGCAGTGGACTGGATTTGTTACTTTAAAAAAAACAGAGTAAACATGCCTTCAGTTGTGAACTGTGCAGCAGCTACTGGCATGTTTAAACATACTTAGAACAGAAATAAATTGTTAACTTGGTTTGGTGGAAATTGAATTTGGACTTTGTCTACTCTTGTTTACCTTCAGTTCCCCCCTTTCTTTTTATATTATAATTGTTTAAAAAAAGCGTGCCCATGTGTTTGTTATGGAATATACAACACATATTTGTCGGGTAGGAATTGTTTAATTTCTATCATAGCTAAAAGTAACTTGATCTTGTTATCATGAATAGTTAGTAAAATGTTTCATAATCACAGTGGCAGTTTGTGCATTTTCTTTAACTTGATTTATTTTTTTAGGACATTGAAGCAAAAAAAGAAGCACAGAAAGAAAAAGAAATTGATGAACAAGAAGCAAATGCATCAACGCTTCATAGGAGCAGGACTCCATTGGACAAAGACCTTATTAATACTGGAATCTATGAATCTGCAGGAAAACAAAGTTTACCATTAGTTCAGTTAATTCAGCAGTTACTAAGGTAATTGCTTTGAATTTGTCTTTTATTTTTGTACAGAAGTTCTGCTTAGACGTTTTATGAACTAGACAACTAAAGGATGACTAATTTTGGTTAGCAAATAAGTAGCATCCTGCTAGCATTTTAGCTCCTCAGAATTCAAAATATTGAACATTCTCCTAGCTTGTCTATAGTTTTGCTATTTTATGTTTGCTAAGTAGCAAAGTTCTATACTTAATTACCTGATTTTAGAAAGTTCTATTGCCTTACTTTTATGGATTTTGATACTTCTTCCTGTACTCTGGAAGTCTGTAACAAATCTAGGACAAATGTTCAAAAGCCTGTCCTTACAAAGTATGAGAATCAGCACAGATTTATTTAGAACGGAATGTTTTGCCCTGTTCATTTAGAACTGAATGTTTTGCCTCAAGGAGAATGTAGCTGGGGCTGTAAGTAGGGAAGAAACCTGAATTTTAAATTCTTGACACTGAGGAAGAATTGTGAATGCATGGTCAATAGGGTGCTGAGGACAAAGCTTCTTTGTCAGCTACAGCAGTATTTAATATGTAGCATATATAACAGGAAGTAATTATGAGATTACTAAGAAATGTATTGTGCTTTTTCACTTAATTGTGACAGTAACCATGTAATTTAATCAGTACTGACACTGTTTTGAACTACATAGTGTCATGACTTTCATTGCAGACTTTCAGTTAAAATTGTCAGATTATGTTTTTTGTAGTGGGTGATGATAAGAAATACAAAATTGATGTATTTGACGAATCCTGTTAAACAAAATGCCTCCACAAAAACCGTTGACTTCTTGGGTACTGCGGTGCAAACAAGGGAACATTCTACAAAGAAACTTTACACAGGTTTCTTACATATTTGTGTGAAATTCTAGCAAAAGCTTAACCTCTGTTTCTGTGGACTGTCTTCACTGTCAGCTCCCTTTAAGTACTTTACAATACTTTTATACCAATTAGGAACATCGCTTCACAGACGATAGCCAAACTAAAAGATGTCGCTCGTCGCATTTCTTCCTGCATGGACCATGAGCATTATAGCAAAGAAAGATCGGCTTCCCTGGACCTGTTGCTCCGTTTTCAGCGTCTACTTGTTAGTAAACTTTACCCAGGAGATTGTGTTGGGCAGGTCCCTAATGCATACAGTAAGTTATTATAAAAAGAATAAGCCCAACCTCCCCCAAGCATTTCTGCATTACCTCTTCTACAGGATAGCAGTTTCTTATTTTAATTTATCCTCTTGTCTCATTTATTAGCCTAGTTGCTGAGACTGCCTGGAAAGTGTTTGAAAGTAGTTTCTTTAACTTGTTTCCTGTAAAGGAAAATTTCTCTTTGGAAAGCAACAGGATCTAGATAATAAATTTTTTATAAACTTTTAAAAAGTTTTAAAAAGATGTGTTTTCTTAATTCAGTGCTAATACTGAGTGGCTGCATTTCAGAAGAGTTTGTCAGCTTTTGAAATCTGTTTCTTAAATATGACTATGTGATGGTTTTCTGTGCTCTTCCTCCTTTTTATGCAGGTCCTGACCTTTTAGGCGTTGGCTCTTTACTGAAGAAATACACTGCTCTTCTGTGCACGCACATTGGTGATATACTTCCTGTGGCAACCAGCATTGCTTCTACTAGTCATAGGCATTTTGCAGAAGTATCTCGTGTTGTGGATGGAGATTTAACAGGTAGGTTTTTCTCTGCTGTCCTCCTTTCCTCCTCTTCCATGAAATTACAAAGTTATGTTGTAGATGTTCTTGAAAGTTCTAAATGACTAAAAAAGAGTCAATTTAATCTTTTGATTGGTGGGAGAGAAGGAGAGCAAATTTGATGGGGAAGGAAAGAGCTTTGTACTAAAGCAGCAATGGAAGGCAGAACGTACCGCTTGGTGATTTACTTCTGTGATGCTATAAACATAGGTCTTGAATTAAATCTGGGTATCTTCTGTGTTTCTGTGTTTTAGGCATTCTTCTTCCAGAATTGGTGGTTTCTATAGTGCTACTCCTGAGTAAAAATGCTGGATTAATGCAGGAAGCTGGTGCTATCCCTCTGTTGGCTGGCTTGCTAGAACATCTGGATAGATTTAACCATTTAGCCCCTGGAAAAGAAAGGGATGACAGTGAGGATTTAGCATGGCCAGGAATAATGGGTATGTACTAGTAGCATCTGGACTATTTATTTATGTTTTCATAAAGTAGCTATATAAAATGGTGATTGTTCATGAACTACTCTCAGGAAGGGAATTCTACTTTACAGTACAAATTTTTATTAACCAATTCATATGGCAGTCATATGGCAGTATTTATTTCTGTCAATAAATTCTTAAAGAAGTTATGTATAGAGGTAGGATTAAGCAGAGTACAAATGCAACTTTTTAAGGAAGTAGTTCACATCATTTTGCAGTTTGGGTGTGAAAAGTTGAGTGAGAACGAGTAGTGTATCTGCACATTTTGTTACTAAATTCCAGCCATAACATGAAGGGAGAGTAATGTGAAAGCTTTGAAATAAGGAAGTTTTCTTTTCCCAGAGCACTTGATGATATGAGCCATGTCTGGGGTGAAAAGAGAAGCAGAACACGTGCATTTCTGACTGAGCATTTTACTGGTGGAGGGAGGAATGAAACATGGTTGGCATAACCCAAGAGCTAAAAGTCACGCTGCTAGGCAGTAGTGTGTTGGGGAGAGCAAAAATTACGTGAAAATTCAGTCTAATAGAGCAAACTGAGATGAAGGTGTATGTGTGCAAACATTATTCTGATGTTTCTTGCCGAATGAAATTACCTTTAGTTTGAAATAGTTTAGTGACATGTAGATTGGAAGAGTTCTAATGTGTATGTAACCTTCCTTCTTTTATTTTAAAGAAATCTGGATTTAGACTGAAATTAAATACGCAGCCAATGCCTTGCAGGCAAGCATATAATAAAACTGAAGTAATTTTGAGGGAGAACTGACTAGAGTAGTGATTTGCCAGAACACCAGTTTTTCTGCTCCACCTCCAAACAAAACAGCTGTATGGTTGGGCAGTGCTAGGTCTTTGACAGTACGACATTGGAGATTAGTACATAAAAGAATACAGCATACAGACAATTTAATTGCATAATACGTAGACAAGAACATATTAATAGCCATTTTCAGTTTTGAGCATATCAAAAGACAAGCAGCCTTTAAGTGAAGAATTTGGTTAGGCAACTGTTAAGAATTTTCAGAAAAAAAGTTACTTTCTGTTTCTCTGTTGATAAATTCTTTATTCTATTTTATACCTGTAGGTTCATTTTTTACTGGCCAGAGTTGCAGAAATAACGAGGAGGTGACACTTATACGTAAAGCTGATCTAGAGAACCACAACAAAGATGGAGGATTTTGGACAGTGATTGATGGGAAAGTGTATGATATAAAGGACTTCCAAACCCAGTCTTTAACAGGCAGTAGCATACTTGGTGAGAATCAGCATCTGAGTTAAAGACACAAATTACTTCCTGTTTCAAAACTGGATGGCATAAACGGGTTTTTGGATATTATACTGACTACCTCATTCTTTCATTAGCTCAGTTTGCAGGTGAGGACCCAGTTGTTGCTTTGGAAGCTGCTTTGCAATTTGAGGACACACGGGAGTCAATGCATGCCTTCTGTGTTGGCCAGTATATGGAGGTAAAGATGTTAAATACTAGTGGATACGCACTTTCTGAAGTAAAGTATTGCTTTGCTTTCAAAATTCTTGTTGAAGCTCAGTTCTAGCTTTTCAACTTTTTTTTTTTTTTTTTTTTTTTTTTAAATTAGCCTGACCAGGAAGTGATTACAACACCAGATCTCAGTACTTTGTCATCACCTCTAATAGACACAGAAAGGAATTTGGGTCTTCTCCTTGGACTGCACGCTTCCTACCTGGCAATGAGCACACCACTTTCTCCTCTGGAAATTGAATGTGCCAGTAAGCAGAACTTCATTTTGAGCTTACATAAGTGATAAATACTTGTCAAAGCATGCAAGAAAAAGACACAGGCCAAATAAATTAACTGGAAGTCTAGCACCTCGTTAGTTTTGCTGTCTTCTGAAGAAGTTCTTTATTCTTACCATTAATTGCCACACTCGTCAAGGTCCAATAATTTAGCAAGATTTAAATGGGGATTAGATAATTTTGAACAGTTAATTATGCAAAATTTGTAATATACAAGATAGAATATTGGAAGAGAAAGGAGACTCTGTATAGCACAGTTATCTCACTAATTTGTGTTGAATTAAGAGTGCCTGAAGCATCTGGTGTTGCATTCTATCTTGTTGGGTATATGAATTTGGTGAATAGAGGGTATAATTCAATATTAATCACAGAAAAATAGCTAAGGCCCTATTATCTCTTAAAGAGGTGATGGCTGCCCTGTTACTTATTCTTAGTTGCAGAACCCTTTTTTTTTTTTCCCCTGCGAAAAAGTTTCAGCAAATGGAAGAGCTGCTAAACCATGTTTGAAGCTGTGTATGCATTTTATTTGAGGGAATTGTTGAATTATTGATAGCTTAATCTTTCATCAGAATATAAATTGTGTTTTCTTTTTCTTTCTTTTAGAATGGTTGAAGTCATCTATCTTTTCTGGAGGCTTGCAAACTAGTCAGATTCATTACAGTTACAATGAGGAAAAAGATGAAGACCATTGCAGTTCACCTGGTAACACTACCCCAAATAAATCGAAGCTATATACACATCGATTAACTTTGAGTGACCATTCACAACCTTTTCTCCAAGCTATTGCAGATAATAATATTCAGGATCACACTGTGAAGGTAAGCCCTCAGTAGTTCTGTTAACAAAAAATGTCGCTGAAGGGTGACAGTGGTGGCATGAAACAGTTTTGTTGGTGAAAATTCTTCAAAAGTTGTAACAAAACAATGGAAGAAGTTACTTCAGAATTACTTTTTGTGAAGGGAGTGCTTGAGTACTACTAATGGATAAAATTTGCATATTTCACTTAATATCATAACAATACAGGTTTTTCTTTTCAATTTTTGAGTGGGCGAAATAAAAATTTTAAATGTATTCCTACAAAAAAAATTAATAATGCATGACTTTCCATGTCAAGTTTTCGTAGTATAGACAGACCCTGCTCACCTCCAGTTGAACTAAGGTGGAGTTTTCTTTGTCAAAGTGCAAATGTATTCTGTGTGTCAGGTGCATGTATATCTTTGTCTTAAAGTCCCTTTGTGCCTTGGGTTCAGGTTTCACCTAGTTGGAATCGTGGATATTATGAAGGCCCCTAAGATTTACATTGATCACTGTCTTCAGTAATACTTTCAGATTTTCTAACCCTTTGAGTTCAACTCCTTTATCAAAAAACCCGAAATAAGTCCTTGAGGATAGGATAGCAATAATGATGAGTCAGGAGAAGACAATTAAAAATCTTGTTAGGTGACCTGGTTGTCTCAGGAAGAGATAAAAGCAGTGGTAGCTTTGTTCCTTGAGCCATGTTGCTCTTTACAGAAGAAGAATGATACAGGGTATTCTTTCTAGTATTGGGCTGTAATTGCTGTGTATTAAATAGTGCGTACTGTGGTGTATCTCACTTCTGAACGTTAGTTTGGATTGTGGAGGTTATTCAGTGTTCTTAAATGCTGGCTGCAGTATTTTGGGTCCTTTCATTGTATTTAAAAACAAAGTTAAATAGAAGCTGTTGTGTGGTGTTTTTGGTTTTTTTTTTGTAGGACTTCCTGTGTCAAATAGAGAGATACTGCAAACAGTGTCACTTAACAACACCAATCACATTCCCTCCTGAGCATCCTGTGGAAGAAGTAGGACGTTTGTTATTATGTTGTCTTCTGAAGCATGAAGATTTGGGTAGGTAGGCTTGTGGTATAGCTGTCCCAGAATACATTTTGGACCAGTTTAAACTCTGCTATGGATGATTTTGGAAATGTATATTCAGAGATTGTCTTTTCCCATTAAGGTCACGTAGCATTGTCTCTTGTTCATCCTGGTACCCTTGGAGTTGACCAGGTAAAGCACAAAACCTTACCAAAATCTGTAGTGGATGTGTGTCGTGTTGTCTACCAAGCAAAATGCTCACTGATTAAGGTAAGCCTCTTACCTGCTGAAGTTTAGATTATTTTTCATTTGAAGTGTTTTATTAAAAAATTATATATTGTTCATTTTATTGTATATTAAACAGTAACCTAATCTTTCAATGTCTTTTCTAGACGCATCAAGAACAAGGACGTTCTTACAAGGAAGTTTGTGCTCCTGTCATTGAACGTTTGAGATTCTTATTCAATGAACTACGTCCTGCAGTTTGCAATGATCTCTCTATAATGTCTAAATTTAAACTTCTGAGTTCCTTGCCCCGATGGCGGAGAGTAGCTCAGAAAATAATCAGAGAAAAAAGGAAAAAGAGAGGTAAGGCAACATTAAAGTTGTATTTTCTTTGAAACAACAAAAGTCAATCTCATTCCAAGGTTTTCTGCTCTATACTTGAGACTCTTTTCAGCTAAAGCATCAAAGCCATTTACTTTCTGCTGCATTTTCATGATCTTTTCTAAATCAATGGTTGTACATCATTTCCTGCAGCAAAAAGGCAGACAAGAGAGTCAAGTTTAGGTGAGGCATGCTTCTTTGTGTTCCAGCATATTAAAAATGATCCATCAGTATCCATCCCTCTGAACTGGTTTTAGTAAAGTTTAACTACAAGTGGCATCTTACTAAAAATCATGTTTTATTAAAGCAGTGTAGTCAAAGAACTGGAAATAATTTAATGTGGTGAACAAACACCGAAGTGCTTTTGAAGTTGGTCTTTAAAGATAAAAGCATACTGCAGATATTACCAGAGCTAATTTGATAATGGTTGGACATAGAGTTCACGAAGAGTACATTTCCATTTTATTACAGGCAGATCTTAAGCATTCTGTATGCTTAGGTTATACAAACTGAAAAATGTGACATTTCAAAATGTTATCAGTTTACATAAAAGAATTTTTTTTTTTTTTTTTTTATTTCTAGTGCCAAAAAAATCTGAATCTGCTGATGTGGAAGAATCCAAAATTGGAAACGAAGAGAGTGATTTAGAGGAATCCTGTGTGGTACCTCACAGTCCTGTACCTATAGACAAAAGGCCCATACCAATCAAATCACCCAAGGTAGGATACCAGGTTTTGAATCAACCTTGTGAATAAAAATAACGAGGAAAAAATACTACCTAAGCATGATTGCTATAACTTGATATTTAATATTCTCATAATGGTGTTTGGGATATATAATTAAGCATGGCGCATTGTTTTAGTGAAACCTGGAATAATTCTTAAAAATAAGCTTATGTACTGCATATTTAGAATACATAAAGATACCTTCTGTAACTTCTAGATTATTGATAATCTTAGAAGTGTTCAGATAAAGCTTAATTTCAAAATGAAAGCTTGTGATGGGTTACTTCCTCCTTTTTGGATATTGAGGCATTTGAAATTTTATGTAGGAAGTAAACAAGATGAGTTACAAATAATACTAAGCTCTTTCCTGGCTTTGAAGAAGTTTCCTTTTTTTTTTTCCCCCTCCTAGTATTTTAAATTTGGACATGGTTTTACATGAAAACTTACATTTTCAGTAATTGAAAATTTGTTTTAACATGGTACCTGTATTTTTTGCAGGATAAGTGGCAGCCACTTTTGACTACAGTTACAGGTGTCCACAAATACAAATGGCTGAAGCAAAATGTCCAAGGCTTGTATCCACAGTCTGCCCTCCTTAACACCATTGTTGAATTTGCACTTAAGGAAGAGCCAGTGGATGTAGAAAAAATGAGAAAGTGTTTATTAAAACAGGTAAAATGGATGAAAATGGGCTTGCATGTATTAGCGGTTTACATAAGTATGACTTTTTTTTTTTTTTTCTTCTCTTTTGCAGTTGGAAAGAGCAGAAGTTCGTCTGGAGGGAATAGATACTATTCTGAAATTGGCAGCAAAAAATTTTTTGCTCCCGTCTGTGCAGTATGCTATGTTCTGTGGATGGCAGAGGCTTATTCCAGAAGGAGCCAATATAGGGTAAAACTTTTTGTTGTTTTTGCTTTCACAGTTCTTCAGTAAGGAAAAAAAAAAAACTTATTTTTGTTGTTGTTTTTCTGTGAAGGGAACCTCTTACCGACTGTTTGAAGGATGTTGATCTGATCCCGCCGTTTAATAGAATGCTGCTAGAAGTAACTTTTGGAAAGCTGTATGCTTGGGCTATTCAGAATGTCCGGAACATCTTGATAGATGCTAATGCAAAATTTAAAGAACTAGGTGAGTCTCATTTTGTTGCTGTTGGCTTGGGAGAAAACTGGTTTATATGAATATAGTTGCATTTTTTTTAAAGCTCCCAGTAATTGACATCCTAAAACCAGTTCCCTTGGTTTGTGCTGAGAAATGCTTTGACTTTCTGTCCATCCATGTGTCATTCCACTCCCCCTTCTTTCCCCCAACACACTTCTCAGTGTTCAAGAGAATGTTGCTGGGACACCAGCAACAGGTCATTGATTACTCATTAGTAACATTTTACCATTAAAATCTAAATTTAAGCAAGTTTCTTGGAACTTCAGCTTGTAAGTTCTTAAAGCGAAGCAGGGAATAAAAAATATTTTAAACCATTAAACAGATTTATAACTTATTTTATTGCAGCTCTCAAATGCCAACTGACTTTGTTATTTGTATGACTTTTGAATTAGGTGTGCAGCCTGTTCCTCTACAAACAATTACTAATGAGAATCCAGCAGGACCAAGTCTTGGGACTATTCCACAAGCACGTTTTCTGTTGGTCATGCTCAATATGTTGACGCTGCAGCATGGTGCTAATACCTTGAGCCTCCTCCTTAATTCTGGCATGCTAGCATTGACGCAAACAACACTGCGGCTGATAGGTATGAGATCTTCTGGTTTCTTGTTTGGAAGAAAGCACGTTATATAAATCTCCTGTATGCTTTACCCTTTGATGTACCCCAACTACGGAATGACTTTGCTGCTTAAAGATGCTATTCACCTTTACCCCTGATACAAAAACCACGTCTGTAAGCATGATTGAAAAGGAAGTTAGTTTGACTGTAGCTGTTATTCATTCATGATTTTTTCCCCTAAACCTTTGCTTTGGCCACCCTTTACTAGACTTTACAAGTGATACTGTATTTTTAGTGGAAACATTACAAATAAATTAAAAATGGAAAATTTAAAATGAAAACATTAAAACTTCCTTACTCATTCAGTTTCATTTGTTCTACCTATTAAAACTGTTCCCAGTCATACTTAAGCTGGAAGCTTCCTTTGTTTGTTTTAAGAAGTTCTGTGGTGGTTTTTGCCATGAGTCAAGTTCTGTTTTTTCTTTCTTGGTTTTCTTAGATAATAGCAAATATTTGTTGTTGTAATATGTACTTAACTGGAGTGCTCGTAAGAAGTTTTTCCAAAAAAATTCTGTTAGTAGAACCATTTAGCTACTGGACTTGTCCTTATAATGTCTCTGTTATTTGTCACTTATTTTTGTTCAAAATTAAGTATTTAAAGCCCTGTGCATTCAAACCCATTATGTCCTAGTTTTCTAAAAGCTTATCTGACTGTATCACCTGTTTAGTCAGCTTTCCTGTTTGTTACTGCTTTTATATTGCAAACCTTATGTGCCTTAAAGCTTAAGTGTGACAAAGGTACGTATAAAAACTGTAGCGGGTTTTAAATTTTTTTTCATGTTTTTTCCTCTTTAGGACCTAGTTCTGACAACATCGAAGAAGATATGATTGCCTCTTCTCATGGAGCTTCTGCCACAGTCCTAGAAGAGTCAAGAAAGGAAACAACACCTGTTCAGCTCCCTGCTTCTGGACCAGAGCTGGCAGCCATGATGAAAATTGGTACCAGAGTGGTGAGAGGGGTGGACTGGAAATGGGGTGATCAGGTACAACTTCTTTCATACAGGTTTGGGTGTGTTGAAGTCTAAAGTGTCTGTTCAGTGGATCTATGAATTTTACGTTCAAACTTTAAAGGTCATTTTACATTTCAAAGACTTGGAGAATTAACATAAAATATATTAATTATTTGTTTAACTTCATTTGTGGAGATGAAAATTCTTTTTTAGTGAGACTGTTCTGATTCACGATTTAACGGGAAATGGGGTCACTTGTTTGCTACAACATTATATACTTCCAGCTAGGTGTGTATGGCACTTATACATAGTAGTACATAGTAAAATAGATCTAAACATGAGTGTTGCTTCAGTTTACTGGGGTCATTTCTTTTGAACATTGTGAAATGCTTTCCAGCTTTATGCTGGCTTTTGAAAGATCATTGAATGTTTACTACCTAACCATTAGGTTGGCAGCAAAAAAGAGCAATTGCATTACTATTTTACGAACTTTGGATAGGAATTAGTGTTGTTGATTGTATAAGTTGAGCCTTTCTCTTCTGTCAGGATGGACCCCCTCCAGGTTTGGGTCGTGTGATTGGAGAATTGGGAGAAGATGGCTGGATTAGAGTGCAGTGGGACACTGGAAGTACAAATTCTTACAGAATGGGCAAGGAGGGAAAATACGATCTCAAACTAGCTGAGCCACCACCAGCAACACAGCCCACAACAGAGGATTCAGACACTGAGGATGATTCTGGTAAAAAAGCAATTTATTTATAAAAGTGGGGGCAGAGGGTTAGTTGAAATCTAAAATTGATGTCTTAGAATATGAAAAAAGCTTCTTTCACAGGAGAAGGTGCTTCATCAAAGAAGATTAATTAAATAGGTGTACATTCCTGACCAGAATCTTAAAGATAGCTTTACCGTGAGAAAGGAGGGATAGAAAGGATGGTATCACATTTGTTTTGTTGCATATTCATGGGCCAAAGAAAACAATATTATCCAACTGAAATAGTTTAAGTTACAGATACCAGGAGGTAGGCATTTTAACAGATGTTAATGCCATTCTAAAGTGTGTTTGTTATATGGCCTAATTATACATCTAGTCACACTGCTTCCTTATTCTTGGCACTTCATTTGAAATTTCTTTGAAGTTGTGTATTGCTAGAGAATAACTTGAAAATACCTGCACAAAATATCTGGTTTATATTTTGCTCTTCCAGTTGGAAGTAAGGAATCTTCTTCATGTCAAATCATCTTAGAGAAAATATTTACAAAAAATTTCTCACAGCATGTTTGTTCCAGAACTCTTTGTGAACTAGATTAACTCAATATTAATATATTCTTTTGCCTTTTGTGTCTCCTTTCAGAAGGAGAACAAGTTGAAAGGAATCTCCACCCTACTTCCATGATGCTGACAAGTACTGTGAACCTGTTGCAGACACTGTGTCTCTCTGCTGGCATCCATGCTGAAGTCATGCAAAGTGATGCTACTAGGACTTTGTGTGGTCTACTCCGTATGCTTGTGGAGAGTGGAACAATAGATAAATCAGGTATATTATATAGAAACAGTCTGATTCAGCTATGTACTGCTGTTTTGTGCTTTGTTGTCTTGTAACTTTGTAAATCTTTTGTTACTAGTTTTTAATCCTTTAAGGCCAACAGCTAGAAAATGCATTTGCCGAGTTTTTAAAATCTTAATTGTTAGCAAAAGCAACATAAGTGATCTTGCGTATTCTTAGAACATAAGCAGTAAAACCAGGAGAAATGCATGAGATGTGGAGCGTCAGGATGTGTATGGTTGGCTTAGGCAATGAATTTCTTAGCAGTCTTTTTGGGGAGAACAGTATGACTGGGTATGTTACGTTCATTTCCATAGCTGCTTTGTAATTTCAGAAGTAATGCTGTTAACTACTTTGAAATGAGGAAACAGTATAGGGATAAGAATTGTTTTAAAGGCATATTTAATAAAACTAATTACAGGCTTTAAAATAAAGTTAATAGTTCATGTAAAGGCAGTGGAATAGCTCAGTGTTATGATTTGTCCAAAAAAGCCCATGTAGTATATAGAGAATTACGTAGCTGGCAGAAAAGTCAACTGTTATATGTATATATCTTTTTGTTTTTAGCTTCCTTGCCAAATAAATTAGTTTATAAAGAACAGCATAGGAGTTGGTGCACGCTGGGATTCATTCGAAGTATAGCGCTCATGCCTCAGATGTGCAGCACTCTTAGTACATCTCAGTGGATAACTTTGCTAATGAAAATTGTTGAGGGGCATGAATCTTTCACTGCTGCTTCACTACAGAGACAGGTAATGTGTGTATTTCAAAATTACCTTGGTAGGCAATGAATTTATTAGACTTTAGTTTTCTTAAAGTGTACTTTAAAAAACAGATGGGCAATGTCCTTAAATCAGTTGTTAATTAATTGGAAAAAGGATATCATGTCGTCTTATATTTAGGATTCATTGTTTTAAATATACATCTGTAAGTTTTTGAGCCTTCAGGGCACTACAAGCTCCCTTGTTCTGTGGAAAGCCTGAAAGTTTTGTACAGATGAGAGGCCAACACTGAGAGTGTTCCGAAAATGTATTTCAGAAACTCTCACGTAATGTTTCCTATAAGTTGAATAAAGAAAAGAATAACAAAAAGATGGTTAGGAAAAATGTGCAATTTCAGTTTAAGTTACGAAATCATGTATTATCTACTGTCCCTCCTTCCATAGTAAACTGTTATTACTCTTAATTACAGTCTTTCTTAAGAAACTGCATCTTTGCATCTTATTTTGGTATTGTATTTCCTTTGTCTTCTTTCCCCTCTTCTCTTTTTCTTCTTTTTTTTTTTTAATCTTTTTTCTTTTTCTTTTTTTTTTTCTTTTTCCTTTCCTTAGCATCTTGTAGTACCTTTTTCATGAGACTGAAAAGCAACCTTATTATGGAATAACTCTTCCAAGTTTTAAGGCTTGGGGTCAAAATATCTTCTTAATCTTTTCCTTGATAAGGCATCAGCATGTTTTAACTAAAGCCTTGTATCGTAAAGGCCTGTGCATTTTTGTGTGATCTTCCAGCAAATTCTTGCTAGTATTTTTAATATGATGAGACTTCTGTCATCATCCAGGTCTTAGTGTATTAGAGTCAGTCATCTGTGCTGTTCAGGCAATACTCGAGAGAAATAAACATTCCTCATGTACCAGCATCTAACTTAATAACAAAAAAAAAGACGAGACCTTGAAGTTTTAGAAAGACCTGTTGTTGACAGAGGTTTACAAGAAGAGAGATCTCTTCAGTCTTACTGGTCACTTGTATTGTATTGGTCTTCTGGGTAGCAGATGAGGAAGCTCAAAACCTGAAATACTCCTGTTCAGAACGTGCAACCCCATCTGCTCTTTGATACTGCAGCGCTGCACCTTCCTGTGTTCCTCGTCAGTCCTGCAATGTCTCAGTTTAGAGATGCCAGCCTGTTCTTCTGTACTGTGTCAGACGCCCTAGTTTCACAGTAACTACTTTTGGGTGTCACTGTGGTTGCTTTTTGCCTTCTTGTATCATTCAGCCTTATATCTCATGATTTTTAATTGTCATACCTTCATTGCAGAAAACTTGGGAACTTTCATTCTGAAATACATCTTAGTACTAAGTTCTGGGTCTGGAATCTGAACAAATCTTCTCATTCTGTATTCCTATTTTTTCTATGTGTTTTAGTCATTTACATTGTTTCCCAGTGTGTGTTTGTCTTTGTGTCCTGAGTATTGAAGAGGTTGGATTCACTACTGTAATGTGCCAATAAAATTGTTACTGCCTTTGAACTGGCACAACTTCTTTTAAAATATTCCTTAGCAAACTGAACTCTGTAATTTCCACAGCTGGAAAGAAACCAGCATTATAGAAAGAACTACAACGGAAAGCTAACTTTTAAAATGTCTTTCTTCTGTACTTAATATATTTGAGAATTTCTTTAGTCTTTGGTGACTTAGAATGGAATAACACTAGTTTTGTTCTCCTTTTAGATCCTTGCTGTACATTTATTGAAAGCAGTACTTCCATCCTGGGATAAAAATGAAAGGTCAAGAGACATGAAATTTCTTGTGGAAAAACTGTTTGGATTTTTAGGCAGCCTGCTTAGTACTTGTTCTTCAGATATCCCGCTACTCAGAGGTAGAGGAATTTTCCCTCAGTGGCTTATTTTTATGTATTGAAAACGTGTACTTTAAATTTATAATGGTTGTGCAATTGCTTTGTCTTTCCAGAATCTACTCTGAGAAGGAGAAAGGCCAGGCCCCAAGCATCTCTAACTGCCACTCACAGTAGTACGTTAGCAGAAGAGATAGTGGCACTGCTGAGGACGCTCCATTCGCTCAGCCAGTGGAATGGACTCATAAACAAGTACATCAACTCTCAGCTAACCTCCATCACCCACATCTTTGCAGGAAAACAGTCAGAAGGGGTAGTTTCCACGTTTTAAAATAAGCTCATTTTTATAGCAATATTTATTTTGAAATTATAAGTATTAAATGTTTGTAAACAATGTTAAGCTTAATTTTGAAACCATTTTTCTATTTTTATATATATATGTATTTATGTGTTGTAATTTTTAAATTGAAATATGTGTGATTAACTTTGTATTTTAAAGCAGATAGAGGTATATGTTTTCTCCCTACAGTTAATTTTATTGTTCTTGGTTAGGCTCTGTTAGATGACTACTTTCCTGACACTGAGAATCCAGAGGTGGGAGGCCTAATGGCAGTGTTAGCGGTGATTGGTGGCATAGACAGTCGCTTGAGACTGGGTGGACAAGTAGTTCATGATGAATTTGGAGAAGGCACAGTGACACGCATCACCCCAAAAGGGAAAATCACTGTACAATTCTATGACATGCGAACATGTAGAGTGTGCCCTCTGAATCAACTAAAACCAGTAAGTTCATTTTATTGAGGCTTTAATACAGGGAAGGGTATGGTTAAAGACTCTGATATGGTGCAAAAAAAAATTTGTTCTTCATTGGGGGAATATGTTGACATTCAACACATACAATGCTCTGAATGCAAATCTAAGATGGTGCTCATGCGAACCTCTGTAGGGCCTTTAATTCCCATCCTCATTTGTGGAGGAGGTGAAGGAGAAGGGATTTGAGCTGAAGATTTTACTTGAGGTAAAATCCCAAAGTCATGACAATGTGACTCATAGCTCTTACATGAGAGGAGCTTATTTATTTGTATTTAACTTGATTTGCTAAATAATGTAGAAACTCTTCAGTGTTTTCATTTGAATCTTAATCTTAAGTTGGATAATATGGCTTTAGTGAAAGTAGTCAAAATGCCTGGTCTGCTTCAGGGGCTGCAGTTCTTCTTGCTCTGACTCTGTCTTGCTTTTTCACCAAGTACACTTGCAATTGTGGGGTACAAATAGAAATTTAGGAGCTGT